TTTCTCCTTCCTCCTCTTTCCTTCTCTCCTGTCCCCCCCCCCTCTCTCTCTCACTGCCACCTGATATAACAAGCTCGCTAACTCACTCACTCTTTCTATGCAATTTACTTTTGTCAGTTTGGAGGGAGGTAACCTAGGCTTTCCCAGATACTGACTCAGCCCGGGTCATGAGGACTAAAACTAAGCTCAGCCCGGGTCATGAGGGCTTAATCTATGTTTAGCCCGGGTCATGAGGGCTAAAACTAAGCTCAGCCCGGATTATGAGGGCTAAAACTAAGCTCAGCCCGGGTCATGAGGACTAAAACTAAGCTCAGCCCGGTCATGAGGGGTAAAGCTAAGCTCAGCCCGGCACGCCTGATCTATTACAACGGTCACTGTTTATGGTACTGTTTAAGTAAGCAGTGAGATCTGACCACATCCGGGCATGAGTGAGGCTCTGTATTAGATAGCCAGCTGGCTGAACACGTGGTTTTCATTAAAAAAAAAATCTATATAACCTTGCTTTGTCTGTTACATGGAATAGCAGTTTCAGGTTCTTTCTATCAAGGAAGAGAAGAGAATGTAGTGTGGAGAAGCGGCTAAACACTTCCTACGGTACTGTATCTTAGAACGTTGCAAGTTACAAGAGTATAGAAATAATATTAAAAATCTGAGAACAGGTTGGAAACATTAATTCTATATTCCATGCCAGTCCAACTTAAGTTGGACTAGCATGAAGCTAGTTCAACTTGAGTTGGGCTAGCTCATGCTATTTTGTTTACCTCTTCTTTTCCGGTAACTTTGATAGAGTATGACTTTATTCTCAATAATAATATGCCAATTATCATCATTTAAGCAAGATACTGCAAGCCTAGATCCCCCTCTTAAATTGCCCAGTCTACATCTGCGTGGGAAGTAAAGTTGACGAGGCAAGTCTCGTCCAACATTGTTTCCACGTTGCAATTCTTCCTCTTTTTTTATCGCCTTCAGCGATATTTCCTTCATACTTCGCATTTTCACCTACTCATTAGTAACCACAGAGGTAGCCTCGTTCTCACTAAATCGCTTTCTCCTATTTTGTTTACCTGATTTGTTTTAACGAGTTCCCCGTCGGTATCTGGTGGCACAAGGCTCATCAAAGTCCTCATATCCAGGGGCGTGACGGTGTCCACAGTCATGTACATACTGCTTGACTTTACCCAATGGTACCAGTCCTTCCTGACTGATACAGTACGTTCATGTACATCCTACACAATGCTACTTGTCAAATTACATGCTATCAGTCCCTCGGTTTGAATTAAATAATAACCAGTTTCCATTTTTCTTGGGGGAGGGGGATTCTGGAAAAAATATCAATAGTAACAGGAGAAGTAGCAGGTCTATTACCCCTGGCAGTAAGGAAAACTGAGAATGTATGCGCGTGAAGGATGAGATACCTGTAGAAGGGTGTCAGCTTCACTTTCTGTAAACACTGTTTCACGTAAGTTTTGTGGGTTAAACTGAGACTATTTATACAAATTGTTGTTGTAATTCTTTTTCAATGATCACATTAAACACAGGATTATAATAATTCCATTGGGGTGATAATTTTAGAGATTTAACCTACGATAACCAACCACGCTAAACAGTAACATTTATTTTCACTGGAATTTCTTTATTTTGTATCTAGTGGCCTGGATGCATCTTATCTATACGTTCAACTAATAAAACTACAGATAACGCGAACTTTAGTAACTTTTAAAATTACAATATGTAATTAATATTACTGATCACATTAATCATGTAATAAAACAGAAATTCTTGCTACTTGATACTTTTTACAGTGTCGTAACGTACACACACACACATCACAATATACCCACAGTCACCTGAAAAAGCCTCGCAGCAGCACATGGGAAGCCTCGCAAGTCATTTAGAAGCCTCGCGACATCGCTTGAAAAGCCCGCGAAACCCCTCCACGAACAATGCCGACTATGCCCCCTAGTCCCTTGGCCCCTAACACCACGCCTTACGAAAGCCACCTCAACAATTTTCCCCACCACGCCCCGGAACCCTTCCACTGTAATTAAAAAAAGATATTGACAATGTATAAAAATCTGCCACAAAAATTGATACCGGACTACAAAAAGGCATAAAGAAATAAGCGAAATATAACTCAAAAACGCTTTTAAAAAACGAGGGAAAATCTCACAACTTACAAAATATCAAGTAAAACCAGACTCAAAAAATTTTAACACGGAAGAAACCAATATCATATCATACCTAATCTCTCTACTGCCAAAAAACCCACTCATTACCGCAACATCACTTCCACCCGCAACATACCCTTTCTCCCTTTATGACCAAAAATCTTCACCTTCAAGAATATGTTAAACTTCGCCATCAAGTATAATATTTTTGTAATAAACTGCTCTCTTCTCTTGGCACTGATCAAACAATGTTGAAAACACCCGTCTTTTGGGGGTATGTGTTGAACCCCTCAAAACGACGGAGGCCATTTTACTAATACCCTTTTAATTTGATGTTGATACAAGATATATAATGGAAATATATCAGCTGAAAATGTAGGAATCGAGATCTGCGTTATAAACAGCTACCAATTAGGAATTTTTAAGTATCTGAGGGATTTATATTTGGGACCAGAAGCTTTCCAGACCCAGGGCTATGGAAGATCGAGCCTCCTACAGTGTTATGGCTGAGTTATTTCAAATCGTGGCCTAAGCAAGAGCGTGTTATAGATTTAATATACAGTGTATACATATTTAGTATTAACCAATAAGAGAGTGCAAGACGAACTTCAATATTGATACGCACGTTGCAGGGCGATAAAGCCCTGTGAAGGACTCTTTAAAATTCCCAGATGGTAATGAGCGCGTGCATGTGTACTCACCAATACGTGCTCGCCAATTTGTGTTTGAGGGTCGAGTCTCATCTTCTGGCCCGTTATTTAAGGTACATAGTCTGGCATTATCTCTTGGCCTCTGGGGACTTACCCTACTTACTTTAGAAACTCTGTGTAGAGTTTAATAATACTTCGCCACTTCCTCGACCAACTTTTCATTTTTCTACAACGCTGAGATTACAGAATTACTTGACTCTCCCAGGATCAGTGGGTTCAGTTCCCTCAGTCTCTTCTTACAGTGCATTCCTTTCAGCATCGGGACTACTATGGTTGTAAACCTTAGCCTTTCTTTTTTTAAGTGCTTGACCCTTCAAGCACTTGCTGACGAATTTAAGATGCTTCATTTTCCTTGGACTGAATTTGAATTCCTCCCATTCCCCAGTTTCTGTGTGACCCCTACGAGTTTAGCACTTCCACAGATTCGATCCAAAGAATCAGAATCAAATTAGATTCAAAATAAAAGAGGGTAGTTCTAATTTCTAAAGCTGTGTTAGTTCTCCGACAACTCCTCACCTCTCCAGCGTTCTAACGCCCTCATCAATATAATCTTCAAAGTATAGTTGCTTGCTTGGTTAGTCAGACAAAGCCTGTCGACTACTCAAAAGGGTCATTAAGGCTCGCCTACTCAAAGCCAGTCAAGAATACTTTAAATTCCTAAAATAAGAGATTAAGCTCTCAGTGTATATAGTGAGAGATATACACCTCTTGGTGTATATATATGAGAACATAGGATACTATGTAGGTCAGTTATACTGGTTCATAATTAGTGTCTCTTGTCTGTCCCCTTGCTTTTATGAAGGGCACATACTACCCTACTTTTGTCTAATTGTAAGGCAGTTGCCTCGTCTGGAGTGATTGCTTGAAGGTCTTCGCTACCGGGGTCACAAGGTATGCATATACATGTGCGTGTTTGTGTGTACACATATGTGGTTGCTTATTTACAGCCAGTGGTACAGAGCTATGCTCGTGATGTACTAGTAGCCACTTATTTGATCCCTCCCACTGCAGTCTAGGTCTTCTTGTAGTATATCAACAGTATCTTCAGTGTGCTCGAAGGGATGGTCTGCGCTGCACAACATAGGGACAATTTGTAAACACTGACCACGAGGAATGTGTCAACCAAGTAGTATGGTATGTCTGACTCTGCAAACCAAGGTGCACCTGAAAGTTATGTAGCAAGAAGGAAAATGACTGCCGGCAACTTGGGGAAAATGTGCACGAATGCATTCACTCAGGACACCTTTATTGAAGACGTTTCGTACCTTTGACCTGGATCACATCACTTCAAGCCTACAGGGTGTCTGACTGTGCTAACCAAGGTGCGCCTACTGGATGTGTCTGGCTGCTTAAACAAGATGAAACAAAACAAGTTTGCTGAAACGAGGGCAAACTTCACAAGCTGAGACGTTTTAGTTAACATGAAGTAATATAAACATAATACAAGTATTGTAAAATTATTTATAATGAAACATAACTATGTTAAAATCCAAAACATATGACATCATGAATTATATAATTAACAGTAAAATAATTTTATCGGTTAGTGGCGAACTGTACATTTTATATCAACACACAGGCTTGTAACAATATAAAAAATACGAGAGAAGAGGGGGAGGGAGGGAGAATAAGTAACCGGCACTGGACAAGCACCTAAAGTCAGTTCCGGATCAGCCGGGCTGTGGCTCGTATGTTGGTTTGCGTGCAGCCAGCAGCAACAGCCTGGTTGATCAGGCTCTGATCCACCAGGAGGCCTGGTCTCAGACCGGGCCGCGGGGGCGTTGACCCCCGGAACTCTCTCCAGGTAAACTCCAGGAGAGGACCTAAGAGGGAAGGAAGAAGAAAGTGGCAAGGAATGAAAGGGGAAGAAAGTGGCATAGAAGGAAAGGGGAAGAAAGTGGCAAGGAATGAAAGTGGAAGGAAGAAAGTGGCATGGAAGGAAAGGGGAAGGAAGAAAGTGGCATGGAAGGAAAGGAGAAGGAGAGTGACAAGAAATGAAAGGGTGAGGAAGGAAGGGGGAAAGGAGGGGGAATTAAGGGAGAAAGGGTAATAAAAAAGGAATATGGGAAGGCAGCAAATAATGAGGGGAGGAGGAGGAAAGAGGATATGAGTTTGTATCTACCTGAAGGAGGCGACGACGTTGGTGGTGGGCCAGCCCATGACGAAGGAGGTGTCGTGACTCTTTGCAACCTCCGCCACGTCGTCAAGGCAGGAGGAGAGCCACATCTCCGATACCCGCACCTGTCAACACCACCACACCAATTATACCCACCTGTCAACACCACCATACCATTTATACCCACCTGCCAGGACCACCACATTTGTGACACATGTTAATACCACCATATTTGTTGTGTCAACACCACTACACAGGTTACACCTAAGAACACTCTCATGGCCTACAGTCACCTCCAGCACCAACACTGGTTCAAACTCACTTCAACTGTTACTCAAGCGTAGTGTCAATCACAGACCTGTTTATACTTGATCCCAGTGCTGATAACACACATCACGATACTCTTATATTAGGAGTTAAACCTTCCTCACTACTTGTTAGTGTTATCTAAATGGCTGATTCATGTTAATGTTATCAAAACATATACATATACTCCCCCTCCTCAAACAACTTCGCTTACAGCACCTCTCCGCCTTTCACTTCCTTAATTCCTATTAAGAATACTAAACAACTGTTAGCCTCTCTTCTCTCTCCCTCTCTTCCCTAAAGGAAGGTTCCTTGATGTTGGTGAGGGGCTCTTGATCTAGGGAACTGGATCTGTGTTCCAGTTCTCTGAATTAAGACTGAATACCTTCCACATTCCCCTCCACAGGAGCTGTAGGGGGGAATGTGGAATTATTAATATAATCATTATAATAATTTTCTCTCTCTCTCTCTCTCTCTCTCACCCTGCCTCCCCCTCTCTCTCTCTCAGTGTCTACCTCCACGATGAATATGCTTCTGGTGAAATCTATCTACCTCCTCTCGCTCACACATCCCTCAACTTTCCATCTCCTTTTACGTGTTGCATCCCCGATTGCTTCTGGTCACCAAGTTCCCTCATTCCTCCCTGCACACCAGTCCCTCAATTGTCCCTCCCTGTCACTCAGGTTCCCTCATCCCTCCCTGTCACCCAGGTTCCCTCATCCCTCCCTGTCACCCAGGTTCCCTCATCCCTCCCTGTCACCCAGGTTCCCTCATCCCTCCCTGTCACCCAGGTTCCCTCATCCCTCCCTGTCACCCAGGTTCCCTCATCCCTCCCTGTCACCCAGGTTCCCTCATCCCTCCCTGTCACCCAGGTTCCCTCATCCCTCCCTGTCACCCAGGTTCCCTCATCCCTCCCTGTCACCCAGGTTCCCTCATCCCTCCCTGTCACCCAGGTTCCCTCATCCCTCCCTGTCACCCAGGTTCCCTCATCCCTCCCTGTCACCCAGGTTCCCTCATCCCTCCCTGTCACCCAGGTTCCCTCATCCCTCCCTGTCACCCAGGTTCCCTCATCCCTCCCTGTCACCCAGGTTCCCTCATCCCTCCCTGTCACCCAGGTTCCCTCATCCCTCCCTGTCACCCAGGTTCCCTCATCCCTCCCTGTCACCCAGGTTCCCTCATCCCTCCCTGTCACCCAGGTTCCCTCATCCCTCCCTGTCACCCAGGTTCCCTCATCCCTCCCTGTCACCCAGGTTCCCTCATCCCTCCCTGTCACCCAGGTTCCCTCATCCCTCCCTGTCACCCAGGTTCCCTCATCCCTCCCTGTCACCCAGGTTCCCCCCCATCCCTCCCTGTCACCCAGGTTCCCTCATCCCTCCCTGTCACCCAGGTTCCCTCATCCCTCCCTGTCACCAGGTTCCCCTCATCCCTCCCTGTCACCCAGGTTCCCTCATCCCTCCCTGTCATCCAGGTTCCCTCATCCCTCCCTGTCACCCAGGTTCCCTCATCCCTCCCTGTCATCCAGGTTCCCTCATCCCTCCCTGTCACCCAGGTTCCCCTCCTTCATCCAGTTCCCTATCCCCCCTGTCACCCAGGTTCCCTCATCCCTCCCTGTCATCCAGGTTCCCTCATCCCCCCTGTCATCCAGGTTCCCTCATCCCTCCCTGTCATCCAGGTTCCCTCATCCCCCCTGTCATCCAGGTTCCCTCATCCCTCCCTGTCATCCAGGTTCCCTCATCCCCCTGTCATCCAGGTTCCCTCATCCCTCCCTGTCACCCAGGTTCCCTCATCCCTCCCTGTCATCCAGGTTCCCTCATCCCCCCTGTCATCCAGGTTCCCTCATCCCTCCCTGTCATCCAGGTTCCCTCATCCCCCCCTGTCATCCAGGTTCCCTCATCCCTCCCTGTCATCCAGGTTCCCTCATCCCTCCCTGTCATCCAGGTTCCCTCATCCCCCCCTGTCATCCAGGTTCCCTCATCCCCCCCTGTCATCCAGGTTCCCTCATCCCTCCCATCTGCGGGTGCATGAGCTCACCTTCTCTTTGAGTTTGAAGTTGCCTCCACTTCTCGCCTTGGCCACCAGCAGTAGGTCGCTGAAGAGGAAGAGGTGCCGTTCCTGTGACTGTACTCCCTGTAACAACACCAACACTTAGTTAACGCTACACCCGTGTGTGTGTGTGTGTGTGTGTGTGTGTGTGTGTGTGTGTGTGTGTGTGTGTGTGTGTGTGTGTGTGTGTGAGATTACTGTAATATTTTTTTAACCTTATTTAAAACACAAAACTATAGGTTTGCAGAAACATCGCAGCAAATGACAATGAAAATATTAATTAAATTTCTAGAGGATGAGTTCACCGAGAGGAATGTGTTAGTCAACAGTCAATCTGTACAACATTACATTAAAACTGCATTACATGAAACACTTATGGAAAAGAAAAGGTGTAAATAAAAAAGCAGAGACTGGTAACCATGATTCACTTAGGTTACCTGAATATATGTCTATGACAGGTTGGTAGCAACTTTAGGACAGGAAAGACAATGTACAGTGTGTGGAGAGGACGACACACACTCTGCCCATGTACCTCATACTGCAGCAAATTACAAGAGCGCTGAGCTATTACCACCGACACAGATATATAACTGAAGCACATTGTAACTATGATCCGTTTCATTTTCCCCGTATCCCCTATTTGCTGAAAATAGACTAAGGTAAATATAATTTGTAAAGATAGGGATGTCTGTACTTTTGCAACGGTCAACGATGTCACCAATGGGAGTGTCAGCTATTTGGGTTTGTAGTGTACCATTATTATGGCGGTACGTTCACTAACACTGAGTGGCGTTATATTAGAATTAGATTAACACGAAATAAAAGTCTAAGGATTCAGCATACCCTCTTCCAAGTCAACAGTGACTTAAACCATGCATACAAGTCTACGGTATTAACACACCTTTCAAAGCATACATGTGAACGTTTTCGAGACCACTAGTGCTCCCACTGGCAAGTTTGTGGTCAGACTTTCCTGATGACTACCCGATCACACAGGCTATTGTTATCTGCAGTAGCCTGTTAATTTCCTCTTAAGTGTTTTTTTTTTTTTTTGTGCTGACAATATTTTTCATATCTACTGGTAGAGGGTTTATAGTTGAGGAACTCAGATGATGACAATGTTCTTTAATTGTACTTATTGCATCGCTACTTTTTATCAGATTTATTTAATATATCCTCCTAAACCTCTCACTCCAACATGCTGTTAATTTACTATGCCTGAACTTCGAATATTTTCCAGGTATAGAGACGAGATTTCTCTCAATCTAGAAAAATACTTTAGAATGAAGTAGAAGTCTCTGGTCACAGCACGCCCTCTTGAAGATCTTGAACATAAAACACACGTCCTGCTGCAGACCAGTTCTGAAGCAATAAATCTGTTGCCTAAACTCGCCTATTTTTCAGACGCCTGCACTTTGGCGTTCGACACACTTCCTGCGTTGCAATGTCACGCTGACAAGGCACACTGATTGCGACCTTGGCGTAAAGCGCATTTAATAGAGAGTAATGGGAACACTCACCCACTAGCTATGATAGCTAGCAGCTAGTGGTATACCTAATCTAGATAATATAACTGAGGCTTACTGCCTTGCCTCAGCAACACGCTACATGTCGTAATACAAGGGAGGATATAAAAACTTGGAGTCATTACAGGAGGCAGTAAAAACAACTTTCGTGACTAAAGAATTTAAGGAGATTCTTTCCAGGATAAGTAATCCCTAGACCAGAAAATTGTGGGTCTTGGGTAAATAATTTCAAGATTCCAATACATTTTGGCATAGCCATTATGATTTTGCATATAATCCAGCTCGCAAGCATTACTGGGAGCGCAAGATAAAGTAAGACGAAAATAAAATAGACCCTTGAATTATAAATGAAAACTGATCATTTAGACATGAGAAGATATTTCAGGGTGAATTTTTTTAGGAGATGAGCCAGTGGAAGACCTTGTTCACATCGACAAGGCAGGTCATCGTATTACTAAGACATACATCAAGATCAATTTTCCCAGTTCTGACAAGCAAATTCCTCCGGGAGCGAAAAACAGCTGCTGAGATGAAACCTGCGACGTGATAGAACGCACGGAGGCCAGTCCTCGTGGGTCCCCTTGATACACTATCACAGGCTCAGTACAAACAACACGAAACAAATCCTTGATAAGTCCTATGCTCAAAGTGTGTTTACCGCCAGTGTGATGAGAGTGGCAGGTGGCCCACAAGAACCGGGTCATAAGAATGTGCTCCTGGAGCTGCTTGATTATCTGCTCTAGGCTACCCTTCCAACTCCTGTCTGTGTACTAAGGGGCAAGGAGGAAGATATCTCCCTGCGTCTTGTGTCTGGACGGTAGCAGTGAGCTACATTTAGCGGTGAAATGTGATTTGCTTAGTGATGTATGAGGTACGTGTTAGAGGCGGCCACCTGCAGTTCCAGTATAAGGATTATATAGTCGATTTTGTTTTCTAGTTCAGGTATAAGAACATATCTTAATACAAGGAGGCGCACTGAAGCAGGCCTACTGGCCCACGCTACACAGATCCAACTTACACCCATTCATGTACTTTTTTTTTAACACACCGGTCGTCTCCCACCGAGGAAGGGCGACTCAAAAAAGAAGACACACTTTCACCGTCACTCATTCCAACTTACACTTGCTTCCAACTTACACTTTGCTTCTCTTCTAACACTTATGTTATATCCAAGATGGAGCGGCAAGGATTGAGAGGATGGATCTGGATAAACCTGTTATTGTGGTGCAGATGAAGGAGGTGCTCACTGGAAGTGCCTACTGATGATGGTAGACGAAGCAAAGAGTGAAGTAAATATAGAGGCAGTGTGGGGAAGGTAGTGACGAAAAGGTCAGGATGAGGAGCATCAGCAGCCAGGGGTCTGACATATTTTAAGTTATGGAAGGTTAATGTAATAATATGGTGTTTGCTGATGGAGGAAAGCGACGTAGGAGTCTTATAGGTTAGGTGGAGTCTTATAGGTGAGGTGGGAATCTTGCGGGTGATGTGCCAGAAGGGTGGGTGGCCATGTGGTAGCCCTCACCCAAGTGGGTGGTACACACTCCCACAATACTCCACAGCCTTGGTTACATCCTCCCTCGCAATACCTTCACAGCGTCTTCTCATTAACCTCTGTTAATAAACGACAACAATTTGCAGCAATTTCCTGCCTACTACTTTATCACTAATCATTTTCCACGTAAATAATTATTTTCCTTTATCGATCTTAAATCTCTCCTAGGGTAGGCGGCTTCCCCACTGGGACCTTGTGTACACAGACCACTGCATGACACAACTGTCTACCCTGCCCTAAACTGATGCATATCTTACTATTTATGACTTATACCTGACGCTCATCACCGAACTGTAGAATAAGCAGTTACAGTTGCTTAAGACTCGTAGATACAGTATCTACTAGGAGACAGATACACAGACAAACACATGTTAAAAGAATAACATTTTTAAGTCTAACAGCTCAGGTCCTGGCATTGACTTGTCAGGTACATAATTATGGTTGGGAAGAAGGGTGAACGGCTGGGGAGGGGGGTAGAGAGGGAGGGGAAGATAAGAAAAGAAAGGGGGGGATTACTAGGGAGAGGATGATGACGTGAGGGACATAATAGCAGCGGGCGGGTCGTTCAGCAATTAACAGCGACCAGTTAATGCGAAGGATGTCTTGTCTGTGTGGCAATGATGGTGGTACCAACACTTTATGTCCCTACCTGCTCTATCGAGAGTGGTGGTACCAACACTCACCCTCCCTTCTCTGCCACTGGGCCTCCTTCACCAGTACCGACTCAAAGCTCCATCGTCACCTGCTTCTTCCATTCCCCCGTTACCATCGCCTCCCCCAGCACCACGATATCTGAGCGTGGCGATCTCAGGGATACGAGGCCAGCTACGTACAACACTGCAGAGCATCAGCACAAATCGCCACGACACGGCAGAACACTGCAGTGCATCAACATAAACAGCGACACGACACAGCAGCGCATCAGCGTAAATCGCAACGACACGACATTGCAATACATCAGTACAAATCGCAACGGCACGGCACAATACTGCAATGCATCAACATAAATAACGACACGACACTGCAGCGTATCAGCATAAATCGCAATGACACGACACTGCAGCAAAACAAATCACTGATACATCAGAGCGCTGCCAATGGAGCAATATAGTAGCGACACAGTACAGCATAGCAGTGCAGCAAGAATAAGAGCGCCGCAGCACTAACAAAGCAGTACAGCACAGGTGAGACTATATCCTGTGGAGGCTGAGGTCACGGCTCCTCCGGCGACCTTTACGGTGGGTTAACCGGGACTTGATGGCAGGAGTCAGGATTGGGGAGGGAGGGAGGTCCCCCAGGGGAGCTTAGCATCCGCAGCCTCCAGGGTTGATGCTCAGAGGTCGGGGACGCTCCCAGAAGGAAACCCCCTAGAGGGACCTCTGAGAAATGACGCCACCTAGAGAACGCCAATCCCTAAGGGCCGGAATTCGAGTCCCTCCCCAACACCGTAGCGATCCCTCAGCCAGCACTGTAGCGGTGATACATCATCTGTCTGCAGGTAGCACCTGGAAACAGTAGCGAGTTTCCCGTCTCATACCTTCTCGCTCCAGAAAGCAACTAAGAACGTTATCTGTTATTTGTTAGTAACGGTTAGCAGTTCTGGAGATTATCTTTCCTATGGCCCCGGTCCCTGACCAGGCCTTCTAGGTTGGAAAAGAAATATTGCACGATTAAGTACTATTAGTAAGAATATGGGAAAATAAAGGTTTGCATATACCGAATGAAAGCAAAGGTTTGTAAGATTTACCTGTCATCATACGTGTTCGCAGGACAGAAAGAAAAGAAAAAAATCATTTCACATTCATTTCAGAGAACGATAATGTTTTCCTGGCAGCATACTACCCACTTGTTCGTGTCTACCATCCTACCACCCAAATTGTTTGCGTCAACCAGCCAACTACCTACTTGTTCGAGTTACTTATATACCTTGCACTTGTTCCAGCAAGAATCTAACGACGAGCAAGCTACATACAAGTGGGGGGTTACCTTCCACAGAAAGGGAGGAAGTGAGGGGAGGAGAAAAAACGACTCCCTTACACAAGAGGGCAGCAAACGAGGGTGGTTGATCTATATGACCGAAAAACTCGCTAATACCCTGTGGCTTTTAACGCTTGCAACATGCAATAGCAGCTGACATCAATTTTCTGTCATCAATTTGATGCAATTTTAATTAATTTCTTACTTAACCAATTTGTTGTCATACGGGCAGTTCAGGACAGTTATCAAAGGAGACGGATCGCCACTCGTGGCGAAACGTTGCCTCAACTGTACACAAGTATCCTTTTCCACAGTTTGTTGGTATCACCCTTCCATTTACAACCAATCTGCTGTCATATTCCAGAAATCATCTCAATGCAAACACAAGAACTTAAGAGTCCATCAATCTCATCTCACAAGTCACATCTACAAATAACAAAAAGCCACAATACCGTGACTGGAACAAAAAGTTACATGCCAAAAACAAGGCAAATACCACATCTAGTATCGGGCCCTTACTCAGACAGGATGGGACTTACACAGATGACAACAAGGGAATGAGTGAAATATTGAAATCCCAGTACGACTCTCTGTTTAGTGAACCACAAATCGGTCTGAGGATCGACGACCCAAATGATTTCTTCATGAATGAGCCTCAAAACTCCAAAAATATTTGTATGCCACATTTCCGACATTACCCTAACTCCGATAGATTTCGAAAAAGCCATTGACAACATGCCCATGCACTCAGCCCCGGGCCCAGACTCGTGGAACTCTGTTTTCATTAAGAACTGCAAGAAACCCCTCTCGCGTGCCCTAAGTACACTATGGAGGAGCTTGGACATGGGTGAAATTCCACAGTCACTTAAAACAATGGATATAGCCCCACTCCATAAAGGTGGCAGCAAAGCATTAGCTAAGCTCTGACGTCCCACATCATAAAAATCTTTGAAAGAGTGCTAAGAAGCAGGATTGCAAATCACCTGGATTCCCAAAATCTGCACAATCCAGGGTAACATGGGTTCAGGGCAGGTCGCTCCTGCCTCTCACAACTACTGGATCACTATGATATGGCCTTGGATGCACTGGATTCAGAATGCAGATGTAATATACACAGACTTTGCAAAAGCATTTGACAAATGCGATCATGGCGTAATAGCCCATAAAATACGTGCTAAAGGAATAACTGGGAAAGTGGGGAGATGGATCTTCAACTTCCAAACAAATCGAACACAAAGAGTAGTGGTCAACAGAGTTAAATCGGAGGCTGCCATAGTGAAGAGCTCTGTTCCACAAGGCACAGTACCCCCCATCTTATTCCTCATCTTCATATCAGACATAGACAGAGATATACACCACAGCACCGTATCATCCTTTGCGGATGATACTAAGATCTGCATGAGGCTGTCATCTGCTGAGGACGCGGTTAACCTCCAAGAAGATATAAACAAAGTTTTCCAGTGGGCAATGGTAAACAATATGATGTTCAACAAGGACAAATTCCAACTACTCCGTTATGGAAAACTGGAGGAGATAATAACTAGAACAGAGTATACCTCTGACTCCGGCCATACAATAGAGCGGAAAAATAATGTAAGGGACCTGGGAGTAATAATGTCTGGGGATCTCACTTTCAAGGATCACAACAGTGCCACGATCGCACGTGCAAAGAAAATGATAGGATGGATAATGAGAACTTTCAAAACGAGAGATGCCAAGCCAATGATGATCCTTTTCAAATCACTTGTTCTCTCTAGGCTGGAATACTGCTGTACATTAACATCTCCATTCAAAGCAGGTGAAATCGCAAATCTAGATAGTGTACATAGATCCTTTACTGCACGTATAAGTTCTGTCAAGCACCTTAACTACTGGGAACGCTTGGAAGCACTTGACTTGTACTCGTTGGAACGCAGGAGGGAGAGATATATCATAATCTAAACTTGGAAAATCCTGGAAGGAATGGTCCCAAATCTGCACACAGAAATCACTCCCTACGAAAGTAAAAGACTGGGCAGGCGATGCAAAATGCCCCCAATAAAAAGTAGGGGCCCCATTGGTACACTAAGGGAAAACACCATAAGTGTCCGGGGCCCAAGACTGTTCAACAGCCTCCCATCAAGCATTAGGGGAATTGCCAATAAGCCCCTGGCTGCCTTCAAGAGAGAGCTGGACAGATACCTAAAGTCAGTGCCGGATCAGCCGGGCTGTGGCTCGTACGTTGGACTGCGTGCGGCCAGCGGTAACAGCCTAGTTGATCAGGCTCTGATGCATCGGGAGGCCTGGTCATGGACCGGGCCGCGGGGGCGTTGATCCCCGGAATAACCTCCAGGTAACCGTGAATCGCTGGAAATTTTGACGAAATGAGGGGAAAAGCACTTTTTTTTAAATGCACAATTTTATTTTAAATCGAAAATGGGCGCGCTGGCATCGCACAGAGCTGCCATCTGCGCGAGAGTTAGTTACATGGTGGGAAGAGCAGCTAGCTATGTTTCCCTGTCATATTCCATTACACAGGATGGATACCGTTCATGAGGTGATGATATGTGTCAGCCTGAGCTGGGAGACTCGAGTGTGATGATATCGTGACAGCCTCCAGGAGGATGTGGTAATAAGGATCAATTCCACCACAAAAGAGGCAGGCGGTAATGCTCGTAGGTGTACAACGCTATATCACAACTGTGTGATGCACCTGTACACTTGTGGGTGTACAACAGCGCAACAACATGTGTGAGTGTACACTGGTGTGTCAAGTAACGAGAAACATCCGCTAATTGTAGTGAAGCATAACGACCTTACTGTGAAAAGGTGACAATACAGAACAAAAGATGAATCAACGAGGGCGAGAGAGAGAGAGAGAGAGAGAGAGAGAGAGAGAGAGAGAGAGAGAGAGAGAGAGAGAGAGAGAGAGAGAGAGAGAGACTGTTGTGGGCATTCTACTGTACAGCTACTACTCCACTAGTCTGTCGTGAGCTAGTTCATTAAAGCATCTACGTCTACGATTCTTCAAGAAACTGCTGTGGGCGGGCGCGGGCGGGCGGGCGGGCGGGCAGGGCAGGGCCGGGCAGGGCCCCAGGCAGGCAGCGCAGGCAGGCAGGCAGGCAGGCAGGCAGGCAGGCGGGCAGGCAGGCAGGCTGGCTGGCAGGCTGGCTGGCAGGCTGGCTGGCAGGCTGGCTGGCAGGCTGGCTAGTCTGGCTGGCTGGCTGGCTGGCTGGCTGGCTGAGGCCTCCACGGGTATGGCTGAGAACTCACCCAGGAAGCCCACGTGACTCACCACAGAGCTTAACAATGGTGCACTGAACGAAAATACATCTCCATTGTAACGCAATGTATAAAAAATGTATGACTGGTTAAGAGTGAAGCAAAGGGGAGGGGTTAGAAATAAAGCAAAGGGGGTTAAGTATGAAGCAAAGGGATTAGGAATGAAACAGGGGGTTAGTAATAAACAAATGGGCTTAAGTATGAAGCATGGGGGTTAAGCATAAAACGTGATTTGGAATGAAACAGGGGGTTAGGAATAAAGCAAGGGGGTTAAGTATGAAGCAAGGGGGTTAGGAATAAAACAAGGGGGTTAGGAATAAAACAAGGGAGTTAGGAATGAAGCAATGGGTTATAAATGAAACAAGGGGGTTAGGAATGAAGCAAGGTGGGTTAGTAATGAAGCAAGGTGGGCCAGTAATGGAGCAAGGGGGTTAAGAATGAAGCAAGGGAGCTAGGAATGAATCAAGGAGGGTTACGAATGACGCAAGGGAATTAGGAATGAAACAAAGGGGTTATAAATGAAGCAATGTGCGTTAGGAATGAAGCAAGGGGGTTAGGAATGAAGCAAGGAGGTTAAGGCTGAGACAAGGGAGTTAGGGATGAACGGGTTAGAAATGAATCAAGGTGGGTTGGGAATGAAGCAAAGAGGGTTAGAAATGAAGCAAGGTAATTAGGAATGAAGCAAGGATTATGTACATCTTAACAAGAAAGATGCGTACCTACACAAGTTTGAGATATGTCTAAAAGAAAGCTACACATCTCTACAAGAAAGATGCATGTCTCTACAAGTGTGTATCCACACAAGAACCATCATACTTTATACCCTTTCAATTTTTATTTTAAACATGGATGGCTACCCAACAGGTGCACACGCGGTCGCTTATCTACTAACAACAGCCTCATCAGAGATGACTCCTGACGCACCATCACTACCGTCAAGCACTCCCAAATATCACCTTCTAAGTGAAACTAAAACAAGAGGACGGCATGTATACTTGACTTGGGCATTAAGAGTGTAAATGCCAATTTCATTTCCTTGGATGTTTATAGTGATGGGACGATAAAAAAAAATTTTTTACCGATACTCAATTTTAGGCGGATACTGATACTTTGGGTCACCCCTTGCTGTTTTGCGCTCGTCCATACACTTGGAAAAGGAAATGAAAGCTGTAAGAAAAAAAAAGTAAAAACTACACACAGTTTTGTAAACATTCAAGTGAGCGCTACATATGCTTGAGCTAAGAAGAAATGAAGAGGTGCAGCACTATTCAAAAGGATCAAGACGGAACCATCATAATTTGATCACTTATGAGGATCAAGAGAGATTCACGGAGCCATGATGATCAAGGGGTCACGGAGACATTATGATCAGGGGGGTCGTGGGACATGATCAAAGGATCACGGAGACATGATAGGGGATCACGGAGACAGAAGGAAACTAACCAATCTCAAAATAAACCTGCCATATTTCTTTGAAAACTAAATTTATCCCTCATATAAAGAAGGATTTTGCTGTAGCACCAGACATGATGAACAGGGGGTCACGGAAACAAGGATCACGGAGACATTATGATCAAGGGGTCATGGAGACAGGGGGAAGAGAAAATTACAGAGACAGGAGGACCAAGAGGGAAAGACTAAGAGAGGAAGAGCGAGACTCACGGTAGTGAAGGTAACAGGAGTCTCCATGATGAACTGTCTCTTGGGCCGTCCTTCCCTCGTCCTGCTAGGGGGTAACCCACCCCCGGTGGTGCCATTGCTGCTATTGTTGTTGTTGTTGGCGGTGTCTTTGTTGTTGTTGTGCTGGTGGTCGCCGCTGGGCCCTCGTAGACCCTTGGCACTGAAGGCTCGTTGCAGCCGCGCCGCCGTCGTCGACCGCTTCCTCATTAGCCCCTTCATCTTCTGCAGGAGAGAAGTAAACACACGTTACACACTGAAGATAAACACGTCATACACTGAAGGTGAACACCTGCTCCTGTCAGTGAAACTATTATATGCGGCAAAAAATGATCATTACTTTTTTTTAAGCCAAATTCGCCGATCTGACTTATGGATTATTTCGCACGATATAATGTACACACACACACACACTAAAACTAACCACTTTGCAAATTAAAAACCAAACAGACAAGCACGTTAAAACAATCAATACCCGCACATAACGTTAAAATATCCCTTATCAAGAAAAAAAGACACTTCAACTAAATAATATGAAGAGAGTGTATGGTACTCGTGCAGCGCTAAACACGTGTGGGCCATTTATTCAATGCGAGGAAAAGTGGGGAGACTCGTAGTTCCTCCCAGGTTTGGACGGAGACCCCCGGCCACTCAGTCATGAAACTCATGCCTGGTTGATGCTATCACCAACAGGCGGGGATATCTTAGAAGGTACTGAAGCTCTAAACCTGTCTGTACAGCGACCAGCAGGAGTGGAATAACAAACCAGAATCACTTTCTTATACGTGGAGACAAATGCTCTTTAATACCGTGTCATTTACTGACACGATGGAATGAGACACAAATGTAGTATAATGCGATCCTTTACTGACAATATGTCGTCCACACACTGGACTTAATCAAGTCACAAACAGATCTCTGATCTATCTCTTTTTTTTCAATATGTTATACTGTATTCATATACCTATGACCGGTTTCAGAGTCTTCCTACTCCTCGAGGCTGGTGACAAATTTTAACTGCTCGGATATGGTAAAACTAACAACTCCAGAGGGACACTGTACAAAAAAAGTGTTGGTATGTGAAGGCTGTGTCTTCCTTCCTTGTAACTTCTTATCGTGTGCTGCACAACGCTTCTCAGAAGCCTTAGTATACAAAACGTTAATCATGATTTGAAATATACAAGAAACTCATAAATTGTAAATGAAATCGGCAGGACGTTTCAGCCTGTCACTGCTGGATCAAGAACGGAGCGGATTATACGTAGTATGGATTTCCTGTTTGTCGTTGTGCTGTCATTATTAAGTTTATTCGTCCGAGGGAAAAACTCCCGACACGGATCTTCACTATAAAATGAGCGGTGGCGGAGCTATGGTTGAGTCCCAACAACACCGAGGACACTTCAAGGTAGGCTGGGTGATGGCACTATGGCTGAGTCGCAACAACACTGAGGACACTTCAAGGTAGGCTGGGTGATGGCACTATGGTTAAGTCGCAATAACACCGAGGACACTTCAAGGTAGGCTGGGTGAAGGCACTATGGTTGAGTCGCAACAACACCGAGGACACTTCAAGGTAGGCTGGGTGATGGCACATATGGTTGAGTCGCAGCAACACTGAGGACACTTCAAGGTAGGCTGGGTGATGGCACTATGGTTGAGTCGCAGCAAAACTGAGGACACTTCAAGGTAGGCTGGGTGATGGTACTATGGTTGAGTCGCAACAAAAACTGAGAACACTTCAAGGTGGACTGGGGGATGGCACTATGGTGGGCCACAGCAGCAGCGACCTCTGGCTACAGTGCCACACTTAGCTATAATTACGTGCAAGGCCGTCAGTGGTTTATGTGTTACAAACAAGTCTGAGAGGTTTTTCTCCGAGTTCCTGGTATATTATTTTCAAGATGTTTCTGAAGTGTGATTTGTGACAATGTCACACCGGAGACTTTAACACTATCCCAGGTCTGGAGACACTCACTCACGCACATATATAGGCATACATGCTGCACGCAATCACGAATGCACTCACGAAAGCATGCACGTACTCACGTGCACACACGCACACTCGAAATAGGCCAGGTGTCTATCGACAAGTGCGTTTGACAGGTGGTTACAACTACAACTACTACTACACATGTAGCTTCCCCTCACTCCCCAACATCTGAACCAAAACAGCTGTCCAACACATGATTACAAATAGGCTCTTACCTGTTCCCAAAATATCTTAGGTATCTACTCCTCCCTACGTATCTACCTACTGGCATCCTGCTGTCAAACCCTATGAACACCACGTTGTCGGAGCCAAGAGCTTGATGTTAAGCTGGATTTGCTGTTCTTAATGAGTTCAGCAGACATACCTTGGACAAAATTAGCCTCAGTCAATAAAAAAAGAAACATTTATCACGCATAGTTTTATATAACTGTATTTAACACATAATATTGTGTGTATCTTCTCATAACGTAACAATACCGACACGTTGATGAATAATATAATGAAGATACTCAAGTGAATGTGACTGACCTGACTAGGTCAAGGCACTGGCTTAAGTCGGTGGGAGAATTGGACCTGCCTCGCTTGGGCCAGTAGGCCTGCTCAGTGTTCCTTCTTTATGTTCTTAAGTGATGCACATGTGTTTTATTCATCATAATGAATTACTTTTATAGTCACTGGAAAGTGACTATGTAATAATAAGCAGCGCCTGAGGAATGAAAGGTAACGAGGTTTGGTCAAGGGGAGGGTAACTAATTCCTTGAATCAAGAGCCCTTCAACAGTCTCAAGACACTCTTTGGAGGGTTAAAAAAAAGTGCAGAATAAAACTTGTGGCCAGCCATTACTGATGATTTACGTGTCTTCACAAGCAATTAACATAATGAATTGTTTGTTTAGTACTCAGAGAAAATGACCTGAGAAGGGTCACGGTCATAAGGTGACCCATCCTGTGACAAGGATCGCGAGACAGGTCACCACAGGTAGTGTAAGGTGATTACAACTGCAGGTGACAGGTGGTGTCAGGTGACTGCCGGCTCAAGGCTGCCTGGGTCTTTCTAATCTCTTAAGCCTATTTCAAAAGTCAATATGGATGTTAATTATGAGTAAAAGTGAAGAAATCATAACACATTTGTTATATTTATCAAATGAAAGTTGAGAAATCTAAAGTATGTGGTGTATAATAATGATGTTAAACTGAAAAGTAATTTCAACACATTAATGAAAAATACACATGTGCAACACCTGGTTTGGTAATAGAGTCGCGGATGAGTGGAACAAACTCAAGTGACGTCACTGAAGCTAAAATGTTGTGTAGTTTTAAAAATAGATTATACAAATACACGAGTGGGCGAGAGTTGGACCTGACTGGCTTGAACCAGTGTGCTTGATACAGTGCTCCTTCCTTCTTCTTAGGTAAAAGGACACAAGTGCGACTAATGTGAGATTGTATTGTGGCATCGTTTCGCTCTTCAGGAGCTTTGTCAAGCCGTTACGAACACTACAGGGACACAGAGAGGTATATATAGGTACAGAGTGATGTGCAACGATTATATTATGCTTTGCACCTCACTCTGTAACTATATATACGAGGAATTGAGACACTTATGCAACACATAGGAATCTTTATTGAAGAAACGTTTAGCCACACAGTGGCTTCATCAGTCCAATACAAAGCAGGAAGGTATAAAGAGACGACAAGTTTGAGGTAATCAGTCCCTCAGCCTGGAATCGATGTGTTCAGTCCGTCAATCTTGTAGGACTGAGTGATGGACTGAAGACATCAATTTCAGGTTGAGGGACTGATTACCTCAAACTCCTCGTCTCCTTATACCTTCTGCTTTCTATTGGACTGATGAAGCCACTGTGTTGCGAAACGTTTTTTCAATAAAGCTTCCAATATGTTGCGTAAGTGTCTCAATTCTTCAACTCATCGGTTTTCAAAACCATTTATCACACCTACACACACACTAATATAATAATTATATATATATATATATATATATATATATATATATATATATATATATATATATATATATATATATATATTATATATATATATATATATATATATATATATATAATACACACACACACACACAACACCACTCTGTTAGGTAAAATATCGAAAAGTTTCGAAATAAAGATACCTAACTGTTGGTATGTCCTACCTAACAACCTGTTGATATTTTATACCATTTTAATATTCATACCACTCTGTCCCTGTGGTGTTTGTAACGGCTTGAAGCTCCTGGAGAGCGAAATTTTACCACAATAAAATATCGCACTAGTTGCACTTGTGTCCTTTTACCTGACATTGTCAGTAATTCTACCAACATTATTACAATTCTTCCTTCTTAAGTGGATGTGACTTGGACCTGACTGGCTTGAGCCAGTAGATGAATTATACACATGTACAACACTTGGGTATCTTTATTGAGGAAACGTTTCGCCACGTAGTGGCTTCATCAATCCTAAACAAGAATGGTGAAGATCAGGAGTTTCAGGTAATCAGTCCCTCAGGCTAAATTACTGATTACCTCAAACTACTCCTGATCTCCACCATTTTTCATTGTATAGGACTGATGAAGCAACTGTGTAGCGGAACGTTTCCTCAATAAAGATACTCGTGTTGTACATGTGTATAATTCATCTACTGGCTCAAGCCAGTCAAGTCCAAGTCACATCCACTTAAGAAGGAAGAATTGTAATAATGTTGGTAGAATTACTGACAATGTCAGGTAAAAGGACACAAGTGCAACTAGTGCGATATTTTATTGTGGTAAAATTTCGCCCTCCAGGAGCTTCAAGCCGTTACTTGTCGGTTCTCTGAACAATTTATCTACATGGCCTGCTGCAGTGCTCCTCCTTTCATATGTTATGTTCTTATTTATACTGGAGATGTTTCGCCAACCAGCTGCTTCGTCAGTTCAGTACAGATGTCAGTTACCTGAAGGTGCGAGGTAATCAGTCCCTAAGCCTAGTTGCAGGTTGCAGAGTGAGACACTTGTGCAACATTTGAAAATATTTGTTGCAGATGTGTCTCATTCTTCCACTTGTCGGTTTTGTAAACCATTTACATCATTCATAGTTGCAGGTCTTGATGAACCAAGAGTACGGTGAACCCCTTCAACTAGGCTGAGGGACTGATAACCTCGTCGCCTACCGTCTTCAGTTTCAACACCTTCAATTAACCTCTGTAGTGAATTGGTAAAGCAACAGGTTGGCGAAACGTTT